GATCTCGGTATCCTTTCGATGCCACGAGATCGCCAGCTAATAAACCTCGACTTGGTCCATTAATTGCCTTCTGGTATTCGGCTTCTCGGGATTTTATGGATCTATTTGGTACGTCCAACCCTCGCCTTCTGATTTATCTGGCACGTGTTTCTTGGTAGCGGTGTTCATAGTTAATCACAACTCGACGCCACGCTACATTGGTGACCCAAAGTTTGGAACACGCCTCAACTTCTGATCAAATCTTCCAAAGAAGCCAATTCGGTGAGTCTATGATTTATCTATCCACGTCTGTCGTATATTTTCATATTTTTTAATATATAATATACTCGACATGACGGATAACGATAAGAATAGTATTAATATAATAGACTCACATGTATGTGTACCGAATCCTTGTTACTTTTTATTCGCGTGACGATGAATTCCACGCTTTATTCGAGAAATTTTCCCCTATTAACTATTCTCCTCGCTGACCCGGCTGCTTGGTACGGAATGCATACGCATAAGCATATCTGTCTACCACCCAGCACCAAATGGTTAAGTAAACGGTTTCACTGCCAACTTAAAAGTGCTATACGAGCACACGAAAACGGCAACTGGCACGAAACCTTACCGCTCGTTCTTTTAGGGATCACAACGAGCTTAAAGGCAGATATCCAATGTTCCGCCCTGAACTTGTATACGGCACGACATTGCGTCTGCCCGGAGAATTCTTCACACCACGGAGCAGACCTAATTTCGGTAAATCAGACTACGTCCATCGACTGTCTGCATTTATGCGAACGCTGTCTCCGGTGTCAACTCGAATACAACATCGACAGGTCGCTCTCCCTCGAGAGTTATCTACCTGTTCACATGTTTTCATACGAGTAGATTCGGTACGCAAACCTTGGCAACAACCTTACGAAGGCCCTTTTCACGTGATCGCTCGTCACGAAAAGACCTTCAAGGTTGATCGATATGGACGCGTCGAGATCGTCAGCATTGATCGTCTCAAACCAGCACACGTCGATGACAGTGCCCTATCTGATAACCTGAGATTCAATGCTAGACCTAGCAAACCTACTAGCGGGATCCTCAAACCATCTTCAGGTCCCACGCTAGATACATCTGAGACCTCATTCTCACGTCCCAGTCAACAGCACGCGTCATCTGCACCGTCTACGGATGAGACGACAGTCTCACGTCCAGATCAGCAGACCACGCCGCCCTTGACTTCGGATGAGATTGCAGGCTCACGCGACGCGAACGAGACTACCGTCTCACGTTCCGGTCGCCGAGTACGGTTACCCGTACGCTTCCGCGACTAGCCGCACAGTTAACAACCGATACGGTGTAGGATTATTCCTATACTACACGCATGCTACACTCTTCTCTTTTTTGATTTTTCTTTTGTTTCCTGAGCCCACGCCTTCGACCATCTCCGTTTGGTTCCGTCGACTTCAGTCAACTTTGGCGAAAGCTGGCCTGATCACCCACGCTCTTGTCAACGTACTCAGTCGATATATTGGTTTCGAATGCTTGGCATACGCTTGGTCTCGAACTTGGTCGTTATGGTCGCTTCTGGTCTTTTGGCTCAACGTGGTTTCGTCCTACGTCTGCAGCGTTTCTGGTCCGGACCCTACGAACGCCCTCTTCAGATTCTGGATACAAACCACTCTGGTGTAGCATGCCAACTCAAGCAACAAATACAACACATCGCTCCTGGTACCGTTCTCCGAAAACGACCTTCGTTGGCAACTCGACGATCAACGATCGCTTTCCTGTTCGCCAATTCTTCCGTCCTACAATCGCTCGTCAGCCGATCAGTCCCACGATTCAAACCGCTATTTATCGAAAGTGTAAACCCTTTCTAGCGGGGGGCTCCTGTAGTGACTCACGTTTATCACGAGAACACGACTGGTTTAATAAAAACAATTATTATTATAACCAACTGTACCAGTGTTTGTTTTAACGTGCTTTTGTTTGACTGTGCTAATGACAGCTATTTTGTGCTTCCATTCTTATACTTACACTTCGATTGTAACTTCGCGCGAATTCGGTTACCTTCTGTAACCAAGGTTGTATCCTGGCACGATCTCGGTATCCTTTCGATGCCACGAGATCGCCAGCAAATAAACCTCGACTTGGTCCATTAATTGCCTTCTGGTATTCGGCTTCTCGGAGATTTTATGGATCTATTTGGTACGTCCAACCCTCGCCTTCTGATTTATTTGGCACGTGTTTCTTGGTAGCGGTGTTCATAGTTAATCACAACTCGACGCCACGCTACAGTAGTGCTTCATGATCAACAGAGATCTCAGTCGGCGTAAGCGAAGCGTTTCAATGTATAATACTGAACAGGTGTTTAGGAATCTGAATTAAACTTGATTGTGCGCTTGTAGGGCCAGTGAAATGTCACTGATCCCTAGCCAAATCATCCGGCAGTTGGATCACTGAATCTCGAACAGATCGCCGCTCCCTGCCAAGGTCACGTACAACCGACGCGCATTAGTTAATGGTATGCCATGGACTGGCCCATGCAGCAGTGGTCTTACTTTCGCTTGTATCTACTTTAACTAATATATTTCTGTAATAACGTCCTTCGTGTTGTACAGTCTTCAAAGCATCTATAGTACCTTGTTACGTCAATGGGGGTAGTCCACGTAAGGTGCTGACCACGAGGTGTGACTTCGACGTTAGTTGGTTCGTCACACCATTCACGTCTAACTCGAGTAAGCCTCCGATCATTTCGACACAGATCATCTACGTTGGTGATCTACACGCTAAAGGAATTCCAAAAAGTGTGGAAGAATAATTTTATCCCTTCGCAGACTACCCACACTCATCACATTCACACAGAAAGTAAATTGCTGAAGGACATGAGATTTAAATACTTGTTTGTAATGTTCCAGTGCATATTTGGTCATAAGCGTAAATGAGGATGTCTAACAAGGAATCAAAAGCCGTGAGAACTTCAACTAATATGTGACGCCTAATGTCTAAGTTTCCGAACTGCCAATCAAGTTTCCGTGTAAGATTGAAAGGTGAAGAATATGTCATAAAATCATACAAGTTGCTACACAACCATCCATGTCGTAGTTCATGGATAGTTTGTGATGCATGACCAGAAAAATGTCGTCAGAAGAAAAAAATCTAAAGCCGGTGATATTGCAGTCACAATCAACAGATGAATTAATAGAAAGCATTAATGATCGAACTGGTAGGCAGGTCACTGCTGCTGGTGTAAAGACTATGAAAGCTCAACTTTCTAGTGTAGAGGCATATTCCAGGTTGTTACACGCGACTGCAAGTAATCGATATGTTGCGGCAAAAGGGTGAAGTGAGAGAGTATTCAGAAAACGGATATGTAACGAGAATCTGCCCTAGTACATATGAGCAGATACAATTATATAACAAATATCCAGAAGTTGTTTGTATTGATTCTACTTACAATATCAATCATAAAATGTGACTATGCTTTTTGTTAAATTCCACTTTGTAGATATTCGTTATACCAGTCGGGAATATCCAATAATGTTGGACGAAGGCGTTCTGTTCTGTCTGCATGGATGCAAAAAGAATTGCGAGCAGATGTGACGTGGATCATGGTCAAATTCAGAGAATTAATGGGAAATACATCGAAAACGCAAACTTTTGTTATGGATTGCACACATGGGAAAGCGCGGCTATACGTCTTACACATGGTACACATGGTAATGCAAATCTAATTTCGTGCGCCTTTCAAGTATGTCGCGCTTTCCGTAAAAAGTTACAGCAATCATGATTTAAATGAAATTGCCTTTAGATTTGCGACAAAATCTTGAGAACGTACCTAAGTAGATAAAAAATCGTAGAAGCTGTTGTAAGATATTGCTTAAATATATTTATCCTGTATATTTGGTCAATATTTCAGAATTGTTACACAAAGAAACAGACGAGTAGGTGAGAATCTTCATCGATTCCGGATGTCTCGTGTAAGTATGTGGGCGGTAGCGTTCAGTGGAAGTGCTTTGACTCTCGGCAACAATACGAATGATCGTGTACAGCCACTGAATTATCAAAAAGAAAGATATGTACGCCAAACCCACAGGTTGCGCAAATGCTCCTGTATATGTTTATGAGGAGGACAGAAAAGGATATCAACGTCAATTGTTAATTTTTTTATCAGACACCCAACATAATAATATGTCAGTTCAGTCGAAAACGATTATACTTATAATGGAAAGAACTGTTTATGGCTGTATATTAATAAGTTATTTAACATTCATAAACAGTTGAACGCTTAAATGCTTCAATGTTCATTTTATAAACAACTTCCAACGTCAGTGTTCATCACCATCATAATTAGGGAGGTTCACCACAAATCAAATATAAAAAGGTCTTAGAGCTCAGTTTTCCACAAAACTCTGATTAAGGTCTACTTTTGACTTCTTATATGGTAAAGTTCATTTGCTTCAGTTCTCTTTTTCACAAATATCCACATTAGGCTTGCCACACACTCAACCAAGCTGTGAGGGACAAATACGTCAAACTCTTAATAAACTGGAATAAAAGCCAGGTAACAAGCGAAAACACTACAAAAATTGACGTGAGGTAGAAAAAGTGCTGGTAATGAATGATAAACAACGAAATCCCAAAGTTCTCGACGATATGGCTGAACGTTATGACCGTGAACTGACTACAGAAATGTCTATTTCGACTGTCCCCCCCCCCACAAGAGAACATACTATGGCATTTAAACACAACTAATTTCGTCTAAATGTATCCACTGTAGGAGAATATAAATGCGTTTAAAAAGTGGTTTTCAACTAAATAACATGCTTTATTCTTACGACACCACATTAATTCGCAAGGAAAATAATACATCCATAGCCAATCGAATCAACGAGAATCAGTTGAAATAAACGATTCAGTCCACCAACATAATCCACGACCGCCATTCCATATTCTTTTTAGGATTTAAAATGTCATTAACTATTTACTTTATGACAAATTGCGTTACAAAGATATTAGACAAACGAGTTTCGACGTCAAACTCTGCCGCGCAATGTGGTTTTTTTCGTTACTCCGGTTGGATGAGTTCGTTCGCTAGTAATTATTTTTTCATTAGTCTGTAAACATTTTTGTAAATGAAAACATATAATAAAACTGAACATGCTCATCTTAACTGAAAATCCTTTCCACTCGAACCTTCATTGGCATTTTAGAGAATATAAAAAACCCTATATATATAAACTATCGTTAGTGTCGCACCTACTGTCAGTTGTTAAAAGTTCAGATAATAGTGAAAAGGAGTTAGACTCAGTAGGCTTATAACCAAGTGGTCCCTAGCCGTGCTCGGTGTAAAGTTGGCTTCTTACGTAAATGACTTGTATTCTTCATGGTTAGAGTACTTTTCAGTGTTTCCTCTAAAACAATTTTCAAAATTTAAGGATCCTAAATATGCAGTCACGTCTCAAAGGACCGATTCGTTTGGAATCTCAATTATACATGCTTGTCATTTTATTTATTTGAACACAAATATTGGTACCAATGGTCACTGAATACATATGTCCCACACAAGTCACTTGATTTATGTGTTGGCTATAGTACTACCCGGGTGCCAAAACAAAAGCAGGTGGTTTTCCCCTAAATGCCCTGGTACGGCCAGGAGTGGGGAGATTCCGCTCTCCTTCTCGAAATACTCACACGGCCACGCGTATACAGCCTCTGCCAGGGGAGTCCTACTCATTGCCTTCTCGTGGCAGGGGTGTTGTTTATGAAAATGAGAGGACAAAAAGCGAATGTCCGGCGCTTTAACCGGATTCCAAACCAATGGGGCACATGGGCTGGCTCCAGTATCCTGCGGGAACAAATGGCGTATGAACCAATCGTTGGTCACCGGCTACTATGGGACTGCATCTCCTTACGATGCCCCACTGCCTTGTGGGTTAGACCTTTAGGTCAAAGGCTCGGGGTTTGGCCACCTAAGATAACCACCTACTTCGGTCTGGGCACCCGGGCAGTATCGCAGCCCACACGCAAATAATGAACTTTCTATATCTATGGAAACTATTTTCTCGCTTCAAATAACAATCAAATGATTATCATTACTATTATTATTATTATTTACCACATTATTCACCCTTTTTATACTTTTACGGCGGCTCGTGTTTGGTGGAAATTCGGCTGTATCTAAACGTTCTCGAGTCACTGTTCGGTTGGAAATTGTACGGTGCTACACAGTGGCTAGAGACGTTATCAGATATGGCTCAGAATAGAAGCCACTGGCGATCCTGCTGTAACCTTCTTTTACTTTCTTCATGAAAGTGGTTGTGTCTTCCTTAACTGAAAGATTTCTTCTGATTTTACCTTTCCGTTCCCTCATTATTACTATTATTATTACTACACTATCTTACGCCAACCTCTTCGTTATTGTTCCTTTTTTTCACGCCCCTTATTTTTTTTTCTTTCTCTTCAAATTCTCATGGTTTTGTGTGGCACATACATATTGGCGCTCTCTTGTACCAATATTTATGTGTTCAAATAAATAAATAACATTCGTTTTTCGTCCTCTCAATTTCGTAAACAACAGCAATGCCTCGAGCAGGCACTGAGTAGGACTTCCGTGTCAGTGGTTGTACACACGTAGCTATGTGATAGTACCTGTAAAGGGAGAGTCGACTCTCCCCACCCGCCGTACCAGGGCGCTTGTCATTACAATTTTGATATTTAATATAACTGCACAAAAAACACCAACAAACGGAGGCTTAGCATACATGAGTAGTTTTTATCCCCGTCAATATACCACGGAAACGATTGAAAGGGGAAGAAAGTGGGAATAATATGGCTTTGTTGTCAGAAATAGGTAATCGTGGTAAGCGAGATAAATCAGTGTCCAACAAATTATACATAGGAGCAGAAGGGTTCTATGCCAAAAACGACTAGTTTTCTGTCCTGATTCATAAAATCCTCTTTCCACTTGATAAGGTGCTCATCATCCACTTATAGCTCTTAACCCTCCAGCGTTAATAAGCTTCCATATTTTACTATCGTCTTAAAACCTTTATATCTCTGTACCTTATCTATACCTTAGTGGTACATCCAAACATGAATACAGTTTTCGTTGTTTCTGCGTTACATTTTTGATCTGGAATTCTTATGTCCTATCATGTTTTTCTGTCCGAATGATCTGTTTCATTAAAAATCCTCTCAAATCTAACACATTTATCATCTAAGGGCCACCTTTATCTGCGCTTAGATAGAATGTATCATTTTACAACTGCTCGTACTGTTGTGTTGAAACTCAAAAATAATCCAATCTTTCTGGGTATCTAAATATTTGGTATACATACTTTTTGGCAGTTCGACTTAACTTGCGTGTATCTCGGTAACGAGTAGGAATAAATTAACGTACATATTAACAATTATGGGTCTTTTTCATCCAACTTTTACAGGTCTAATGAACCCGTATGGAAACATTATCGAGGGGATTGGAAATGAATTACTTTTTGTCATCAGTTGTATGGGAACGATTTTATTTCTTATTGTGGCTTGGATCTCTACAAGGGTTAACTGGGAGTTGATGCCTGTTAGAATAACCTTGCTCCGCCATCCTCACAGAAACCATGATACTGAAACAGAAACGACAAATACACCAGGAACTGTAGAACCTGACAACATCGACTCATCGGGTAATATTTTCTCAGAAACTTCGGGTTCTAGTTCCGAGGATGAAACCGATTCCGATACATGCATTCACAAACGGTCATCTGGTAAGTATGACTGATTTTTCAATTATGATTCTAAAGTTCAAGTCACTATTTCTACTACAATTAAAACAAATCGAGCTACTTGTCAGTAGTTCTAATTCTATGTGCTGAGAGTAAAAAACTGATGTTATTATAACGTTACCCAAGAAGCGCCGTATATGCATTATGGTTCAAATTCGTTTTACTGATATGTAGCTTGAGATCAAGTGAGAAATACACCCTTTATAGGCCTATAAACTTCCGCGTCAGTTTTGGATGTACATTTTTACTCTAACTCCAGTTGTCTTACTTGGTCACTTACTCCTCCAGTCTTCACACGTCATAAGATTTGATCTGTAGCAAAATGTCATTTGCTCATAGTTGGTTTCATGTATTGCTTCTGAGGATTGATTAGATAACGAGACCGTAAACGCAGATTGTACATTTAGGAACCGTGTACTTAAACTTAGTGAACATACTGGGAATTTCGATAACAGTCTCTCAATTGCGTCAAAACGGTCAGTGCGTTAATGACTATTTACTCTGTCATTGTTTTCAACTACTACACATACGTAAACTGCTTTTGTTATTTACAACTCGTTTTTATCGGATTTCACTGGAATTTAAGGTTACGTTTGATGTTAAGGTTCCGATATACTGAAAAAAATCGCGTAAAGTATTCTCACCATTGTTTAACTTGATTTTATTACATCAAAGTAATGTGGACACCATTATCGCTTTTTTTTTTAAAAATGCACCTTGTGGCATAAGGATTTAGTTTTCTCAAAAGAATGACCATAGTATTCCTAGTCCACAAAATAGACCAGATGTTCATTAAACAACTATTTTTTTACTTGTATCTAATTCATCTAGTTCAGACTTCAATCACTTCAAATGATCAAAGAAATTCATCTTCATCCGATGCGGAATCGAAAACGAGTAGAACAAAAGAAAAAGGACAAATTAATTCTACATCTTGTTTTAATGGACATTTAGCCATTAAATTGCAATATCTTAATGAAGAATCACGTTTTGTACATGCATCTCCCACTATGTCTGTTAATCGTTTTAAGAAGTACGTTTTCGTTTTATCTTTATGTTTTTCACTCAAGATGTTCTATATTTTCGTACGCGAACCCAGACTGATTAATTGTTATTTACCGATATTATATATATATATATATATATATATATATATATATATATATATATATATATATATATATATATATAATGCCAAAATAATATATTTAATCTACTTTAATAGATTGCCATGTTAATTAAGAATTAAAAGTGGTGATTTTGTCTAACGGATACTTGGTTCGGACCGTTATAATGTTTACTGACTGACGGTTTAGTTTCCTTCGTTAGCAACAACATTTTCACATTGTTTACGTAACTTAAACATGGCTTACATTTAGCATTATAATAATTACCATGCTTTAAATTTTGCTGAACCTAGATACTTTTACTTGTTTTCAGGAAGCACTTTGTAGATGAATTAATCAATCAGAAAAAGAACGTCAGGCTTATCTTCCAAGGCCGAGAGTTACTGGATGTTTTACAAAATGAAGCAAATTTTCATAGTAGTGGAAGACCAAAACGTCAAAGATTATGTGACTATGGTATAACTGATGGCTCAACAATTCACTGTCTTGTTACAACTCCTGTTGTATCATCACCTACCAGGTCATCCTCGGTAAACGATTCCGGAAACACAGAACGTAATTTCGCTTTCCCAAGTTCTTCCAGCGATTCAATGTTAACTGAGTTTGATATAGGTACTAGGCTTATGAAACCACTTTTCGCTTTCCTCCTACTTTTCACTTGGTTTTTTAGGATTGTCTATAGACAATATTTTAATTCAGTGTCTACGTTTGCTTTAGTAACATTAACAGTGTTCTTTTGTGGAGCCGTATTTACTGCTACTCTTGTGAATGCTGTCTCGACAATAGCTTCATTATTTGGTTTTCCAAGCAGTAATGAACTGTCAAATCAACAATCAGAAAATCCAACCAACCAACCTAACTCACCCGATGTACAAGTTCTAACTGTAACTATGGTTGCACGTCGTATTCCACCTCAAACACCTGTAAACCAAACAAACAGTACTTCATTTTTTCTTGGGGAATCAGCCCATAGTCATCAAATTATTGTTGATGAGCCCAATAATGATTCTCAAACAAGAACAGACTAACTGCTGAGATATCTTTACTTGTGTTTATTTTATTTTATCATTGTATTCTTTGGTTCACTTTAGATGTTTGTTATAAGTTCCTAAATGTGTATTTCTCCTGCTTTTTAAGCAGAAGTTGCCATTCTTGTACATATGATTCAGTTTGTCCTGATTTCCTACTTAATTAAATGCATTCAATCGATAGACCTTAATACTTATTTGTTTATACAATAAGTGCAGAGTGAAACTTAGTTCACCTTATGCAGTAAGTCATGTTATACTGTGTTCTAAAGTTTAGTATTAATGTTTAAAACTTATGGTTGGTATTTTATGTGAAAATGATTTAGGACCCTCCGAACTAAATAAACCGCTTAAAGTGACTCATTTTGGATATGAAACTCGTGTATTATACTGTAAGTTTTAGATTACTGATTATAAAAGTTTGCTAAGTCATCTTTTTGATGAAAACTTGTACCAAAAAGTAACGGTGAGATAAGACATTCGGAGGCGGGAATAATTGTCTTTCTAGAAAAACAAATATTTTATGTTCTCTAGACTCTGAAATCTATGTGAATTGCATAGATGACACAACTTCGCAGTTAACTGAGGAAGGTATATTTCAGTGACTCAGTAAATTCACCGACTGATTTTTGTGTTACAGAGAAGTTAGGTTGGTTGGCTTGCCCAAATTTGACCATGACCTTATCTCCTGTTTCTGAGCTTCTATTCTCAGATCACTAAGATATTTGTTATACTATATATGAAGATTATTTTCATTCTTTGAATAAGGATGTGAAGCCTTATGCCCTTTATTCACTACAGTTGTAAGAAAAGGCTTGAGAACCAGTGTATCCTTTCGGGGTTTGTATGACTATAAAAATAGCCTTGCGATTTAATTCTTTTGAGGTATATCGACATCAGAACCCATATTTCTTTTGTTCAGCCTTAAACAACGGGAAAAGTGGATATAGTTATGCAGGAGTTACATTTGTCGGATCTAAAATACTGTTAAGATAATACCTTTAGGCGTTAAATTTTCTGCTGACTTTCAGTTTCAAATAATTATCCCTTGTTAGTCACTCAAACCGAGACTAATTAGATACTTTGTTGTAGACTAGCTTGTATTCCTCTGTTTTTTCCTTGGGATATCTCAGACAAGTCGATTTTGTGTGTAAATTTCGGCTTAATTAGGGTTTAATACCAGGCTGTAAGTTAAACCTTTGGTAAACGAGTGTTATTCTACACTGAAGGTTGAAGCTAACCGAAACATAAAGGACTTAAAGGTGGAAATAATTAATATGATAATAAAAAATATGTCCAAACAGTCCGAAGGATCCATCTGTATTGCTCGATATATCTACCCCTAACATCAGTACCTTAAAGTCACAATTATCACTTGGAATTTAAAAATCGAAAGGATAGTGAGTTTTTTCATATTGCACTGAAAACTGCAAAGCAGGAACCAACGAAATGCACACTGTTTAAATCTGTCAGCGGGTTATATAAATTTTCTGTTATATCTAACAGGAATTCTTTTGGACGTTATGGCCATTATGAGTAGAGGATATTCGTACGTTGCTGGTATTGGGTCATAGGTGTCCACGAAACATTGCTCATGTATCTTGGGACCAGGAAGTAAGCAGTGCCTGAGTTAAGAATAGAGTACTAGGTGAAGATGAAGAATCGATTGATAAGATAGTAAATCTTGGTCAATTGATGTGGTTGAGGTATGTGTTATGCATGACCAACCACTGCCTTCCTCAACGGGCGATGTCTTTAGGTGCAGAGGCAGACTGAACTTAGCCATGGTAATAGATGTAGACTATCTCGTTGGGGTACACGTGATTATCGTTACCAGTGGCTAGAGACTGAATGGCATGGCTCAAAATTGTTTGCAATGGCGCAAGTGCATTCACTTTCTGTCTTCCGCCACATCCTGAAATTTTAAATTGCTCATAACTTCTATTTTCATTTCACTAGTTTGTTTTTTCTTCTCTAATCATATCTTTGATGCCTAACCTTTTAAATTACCACCGAAACTGTTATTATTTCTACTATCTTGGGGTTTCCCCTGACATTTCTGTGCTAGTATCGCGTTTACGGTTCTAACAGTATATCTGTAGGACAAAATAAACCCTACATGTTATGACATTTGGAAGTGGTCAAATTCATCAATCAGTTATTCCAAGAACTGTCCAGTTCGTACTTTGGTAGCCACGAATGGACCAGTAGCCGCGTCTGAGAGAAATTACTATCAGTGTGAGGATTTGAGGAATTTATAGTATTTTTACAGTTAAAATTACGAGTCGATCTGAGCTAGATCATCACCGAAAACCAGGAAGAACTGGACGGCTATTTCGTTTTGGTGTAAGACTCTATGACAGTGCACATACACGATCTCACACGTTGGACTCAAAACACAGGACCTTCGGTATCACACGCGAACGATCAACTTCCACACCACTGAGCCGGCACCCAAGGCTGAAGTGAAAATATCAAAGGTGCGATGAGGAAATTCTCAACAAGTTTCCGTTTCCTATTTCTTGGTCGATCCTAAAGATTAATATTGAGTGATCTCCAGTTAGATGTCAGCAGTTCAGGAACCGATACCTTAATAATATTTGTTATTTTCGATATTGCCGGCAACCACGATGTCTCTTCGAATGCTTCTAATTATCCCAACTACTCCAATTAGACTGAAATGTTGTGGCCGACCAGCTAACATCATAGTCACACCTTGCGGTCAGAACTTAACTTGGATCAACTTTTCGTTGTATCCCGGTATTATGGCTGCTTTGATGACCGTGCTACACAAACGACGTCATTAGAGAAATATATTAGCAAGAGCACGAAGGATCCACGAATTCTCCTGGAAGTCGAAGTGTCGTTCCATAAACGAGTTGAGCCGCAGTGTATCCAATGTCAGCTTTCACTGCATTGCGGATACCTAGTAAGACGAGTGGAAGAGCGTCGGTCCATTGTGAAACGTTTGCAGCTGATAGCGAAGCTTTCAGTTGTCGGTGAAAACGTTCTACCAACCCGTTTGCTTGTGGATGGTAGGCGGTCGTTCGGAAGCGAGTGATTCCTAAAAGTGTGGTCAGACGACGGAAAAGATCAGATTCAAACTGACGTCCGCGGTCTGTAGTGATGGTTGAAGGGCAACCGAAGTTTGCTACCCATCGTTCGACGAATGTGCGGGCCACTGTTTCAGCAGTGCTGTCCTTGATAGGTACTGCTTCTGGCCATCGAGTGAAACGGTCTACGCAGGTTAAGAGATAAGAGTATCCATTTGAATCTGGTAAAGGTCCTACCAAATCCAGATGAACATGGTCGAAACGAGCATCGGGAGTTTTAAACGAGCCTAAGGGACATTTATTGTGTCTGATAACCTTAGATTTTTGGCAGCTTACACAGGAGCGTGCCCACTCCCTCACGTCTTTATTCATGCCAGGCCAGCAAAATCGTTCTGCTATAAGCTTGATGGTTGCACGAACACCTGGATGAGAAAGTTTGTGCAATGTGTTGAAGACATTGCGTCGATAATGTTTCGGCACGATTGGGCGATCCCTACCTGTAGATGTGTCACAAAGTAAGGTTTCCTTACCTGTTCCCATCTGTTTGATGCGTAGTTTAAGTGTTGTGGACGATAACTCGTGCTGAAGATCAGTGTCTTCTTTTTGAAGCTCGGCGAGTTTAAGAAGGTCGATTCCTTGGAAACTGTTCAAGGAAGTTATGCGAGATAAGCGTCTGCAACTACATTGTTTGCTCCAGAGATGTGTTGAATATCTGAAGTAAACTGCGAAATGTAGTCCAGTTGTCGAGACTCACGGGGAGAGTACTTGTCAGAAGGAGAGCTTAACGAGAAAGTGAGCGGTTTATGGTCCGTGAAAAGAGTGAATTCACGGCCTTCGATATAGTGTTGGAAATGCCGTACAGCACAATACATAGCTAGGAGTTCCCTACCGAATGTGCTGTACCTCGATTCGGTGTCTAGCAACCTTCTAGAGAAAAATGCCAAGGGTTGCCAGGAGTTGTTAACCCATTGTTGTAAGACTCCTCCGATTGCTGAGTCGGATGCGTCTACTGCGATGCTAATGGGTGCTCGGGTGTCCTGATGTGCGAGCATTGTTGCTTTAGCGATCAGTTCCTTAACTGTGGAGAATGCTTTTCGTGCGGTGTCGTCCAAATTAATGGATTTCGCATTTCCACGAAGTTGGTCGGTCAGAGGTTTCATAAGTAATGCGCATTGGGTATGAAACGTCTATAGAAACTTACCAGGCCGTTGAACGTGCGTAATTGCTTGACGGTGGTCGGTTCTGGGTAATCCAGAATGGCCGCCACTTTGGTTCTAAGGGGTCGGATACCTTGAGCATCGATAGTGTGTCCCAGAAAGTCTAACGAGTCGGTTCCAAATTGGCATTTCTGAACGTTTACAGTTATGCCATGTTTTTGTAATCGTTCGAAAACAAGGTCCAGATGCTTGAGATGTGTTTCTCTGTCCGGACTTGCGATTAGACAGTCGTCAACATACGCGTGTACGAAGTTGAGACCTCGAAAAACGTCGTCTATGAATCTTTGGAATGTTTGAGCAGCATTCCTTAGACCGAAAGGCATTCGCAAAAATTCATAGAGTCCGAAGGGAGTTATGATAGCTGTTTTCGGTATGTCGTCAGTAGCCATAGGGATTTGGTTATACGCTTTAACCAAGTCGATTTTCGAAAAGACAGTTGTACCTTTCAAGGTAGCTGTCAAATCGTGAATGTGAGGCAACGGGTAACGATCGGGAATGGTTTTCGCGTTCAATCGCCGATAGTCACCAGTTGGACGCCAATCGTTGCTGTCCTTTTTAGGGACCATGTGCAACGGAGATGCATATGGGCTACTTGACGGTCGTATGATTCCTAAGTCCATCATGTGATCGAATTCGTTTTTCGCTAACCTTAGCTTTTCAGGAGCTAGTCGTCGTGCTTTAGAAAATACAGGTGGTCCTGTAGTCGTGATGTGATGTGTAACATTGCTGGTTACACACGGTAGTTTCGGTTGAGTTTGTTGTATCCCAGGGTACTTATCGAGTAGTGGTTGATAGAGTGGGTCTATCATATGTTTAACTGTGACTGGGGATACTCTACAACCAGTAAAAGAAGTTACGCAAACGGACAAATTAGTGTTTCCGTCTACTAGCCTCCGTTTGCGAGTGTCGATG